ATTCTTTGGGGCTTCGTAAGCAACTGCTTCTTAATTCTTGCTGCCTTGCAGTGTTTGCTATACTAAACTCCACTTAGAACCTCAATAACAATAATGTTTTCCCTAAACCCTAAACCCTAAACCCTAAACCCTAAACCCTAAACCCTAAACCCTAAACCCTAAACCCTAAACCCTAAACCCTAAACCCTAAACCCTAAACCCTAAACCCACAACAACAATCCCAAGGGGAGTATACTTTGCTTGACTCGCAAGTCCTTGCGGACTTGCAGCGCGCGCCTCGCGGGCCTGATCGAACAGCTCCTGCGGCTGTTTAGGGCTTACAAGCCCAGATCTTCAGTGTAGGGTATTTAGGGTATTTAGGGCATTTAGGGCATTTAGGGTTTTTAGGGTATTTAGGGTATTTAGGGTTTAGGGAAACCCTTTATTAAGGAATATACCCTAATTTGTACGAAGGATCCTTCTTGTGGACAAGGGTGTCTTCCTTAATTGAGAGGTTTTGGAAGCGCAGGTTTACAGGGTTTAGGGTGCAATCTTGCTTTAAAAAATGCACTAGCCACGATGTCTCATCTCGAAGACCAACACTCCTCAACCTTCCCAACCTCTAAACCCTAAACCCTAAATCCTAAACCCTAAACCCCAAGCTCTCAAGTTGTTGGCATCCTTCCGAGGGAAGCGGTCGAGGGCAGTGATCTTGCCTCGCTCCACGCGCGGCGGTGCTCTCGAAGCACAAAGAACCAGTAGGAAAGCAAATGGCACGCTCAGATCCGTCACCTGACAAAAAGACGCAAACTGAAAACTATGCTGCGTAATGATATTCAGCTCAGGGCAGTTGCTTTTGTCCATCTCTTCGAATGATGGGGGCAGATGGGGGCCAGCGTCAATACTCCGAAGAATTACGAAGACAGGGTTGGCATGTCAACGAAGCCTAAAGCCTAAAGCCTAAACCCTAAACCCTAGACCCTAAACCCTAACCCTAAACCCTGAACCCTGAACCCTAAACCCTAAACCCTAAACCCTAAACCCTAAACCCTAAACCCTAAACCCTAAACCCTAAACCCTAAACCCTAAAACTAAACCCTAAACCCTAAACCCTAAACCCTAAACCCTAAACCCTAAACCCTAAACCCTAAACCCTAAACCCTAAACCCTAACCCTAAACCCTAAACCCTAAACCCCTATGAACCCTAAGCCCTTAAGCTCTCTGCATTTTTGGGTCGCAAGTTGAGTCCACCGCCGTTCGGCTGCATCTCCAACGAAAACAGCCTGAGCGAAGAGGGCATCCAAGATCAAGCTCGAAATGATAGGCCAGGGCTAGGCCAGAGTGTAACCTAGGAAAAAAGCGTGCCCTTTTGGTTTAAAGTGGCTTCTCCGGGAACCTAAACCGTGCCTTCGTGGGAGACGGACCAACCGAAGGGGTTGAGGGTTGAGGGTCTAGGGTTTAAGGCTCATGCACCCCCCAAAAACGTGGACTCTTGGGCTTTAAAGCACGTGCTGTGCGATGCCGTTGGGGTGCAACGACGTGCTTGATCCATGCCTGTTCAGGCTGCTGTCAGGACACCAGGAACTTCTTGGTTTAGGGTTCAGGGTGTAGGTTTAGGGTTTAGGGTTTAGGGTTTAGGGTTTAGGGTTTAGGGTTTAGGGTTTAGGGTTTAGGGTTTAGGGTTTAGGGTTTAGGGACTATCGCAGGTACCGGCACTGGCCGCATGGCAGCGATGGGGATTGCACCCCGTGAGTACGCATCCCAGCAGAGACGATGGAAGCATGTAGCTTGGCTGTAGGACGTCCTATAATTACCTTGTTGGTGCTAGTCTTGCAAAGGAACTCAAAACCGGACGAAGGCCATGCGTTCCACTGTCCTGAGGCCAAGAACAATAGGTGTGTAGTATGTTCGCTGATCGTGTCCCAGTTGGCACCTCTCAGGGCAGCAATAACGGGGTTTAGGGTTTAGGGTTTAGGGTCCCCTTACTCTACTCACTGCTGCTGTACTACAGCTCTGCACACAACATAGGGGCCCAACTGAGTCAATGGAAGGAATTCGGCACGAGTTGGATGGTGGAGGGTCTCTAAACCCTCAACCTTAAACCCTCTCTCTCTAAAACTGGTCCCAGGCAACTCGGTTCAGCTCTGACATCTCGAAATCTGCTGTGCCGCTGTATGCCATGTACCGAATGTACTTCCGTCGTATGAGGAGTCTCCGTTTCCCTCAACCCTAAACCCTAAACCCTTGTCTGCATCCGGGCTGTGATATCCTGGCCGGAAAGTCTCAGCAACACTCTCAGACCCTATAGACCCTAAACCCTAAACCCTAAGCCCGGGGGCTCGCTCTTCCTGTGCGATTGCTGGGCGCCTGAACGGGAGAAGCCCAACGCCCGACCCCGGACCCGCTGCGCGGCGCCTTCATATCGCCACTCTGGGAGATATGCGACCTGTTTAGGGTTTCGGGCTTAGGGCACATGATCAGTTGGCCTCTGTTGGGCTTCCGACTCAGCAGGGACCGTAAACGGGAGCCATAATTTTTGAGAACTGACCGTGCAGGGCTTAGGGTTTAGGGTTTAGGGTTTAGGTTTTAGGGTTTAGGGTTTAGGGTTTAGGGTTGAGGGTTGAGGGTTGAGGGTTGAGGGTTGAGGGTTGAGGGTTGAGGGTTTAGGGTTTAGGGTTTAGGGTTTAGGGTTTAGGGTTCAGTCTCGCGAGGGGTATGTTCCAGAGATCTCAAGAACTGGCAAAGCTTGACCCAGTGCCTTGACGATGGGAGTACCCTAAGGGTCCATTTACCTATATCGTTTTTACTTCGGCCTTAAAGGGGTTCCTATATAGTAGCGTTAGGGCTCAGGTATGTGCTTTATAGGTACCTGGACCCTTAAAAATTATGGCAACAGCTGCGCTGAGGCGCGGGCGATGGACACCGGATCACTCGGAGGATCAGATCCTGCTTGCTTACAAGGGGGTCAACTCCCTAAACCCTAAACCCTAAACCCTAAACCCTAAACCCTAAACCCTAAACCCTAAACCCTAAACCGTGGTTCAATAAGCCAAAAAGGGTCCATGTACCTTGGGCCTTAAAAGTAGCTCCTGTGTAGGGACTTTTGGGCCCAAGTATAGGTACATGCACCCTTAGGGTGCTGCAGTCGTTATTGGGCCTCCTGGGTAGCAGTTAAACGGTCTTTATTGGGCACCTCGAGGCACAGTACAATCAGACACGCCCAAAGAGCCCAATATCCCTTAATTAGGGAATACTGCTTAATTTATAAAGGGATCCTTAATATGATTTAAGGTATATTCCTTAATTAAGGGGTATTGGGCTCTTTGGACGGTCTCACACCATGCATCAACAAGCATCCGGACCAGGGGTGATGGCTGACACTTCAGCTAAGAAATGCCAGTGAAGTTGAATTGCAGTGGCTGGTGGACAAAAAGGCTAAGGCTAAGGCAGCTATCTCCTCTTATCATAGCCTGTGATGCATGTCACGTATTGCAGCATGTCTAATCTGTTTGAATTGCTGACGAGAACGCCGGCGTGGACTCACCGAAATTGCAACGCCCTTACAACACTTCGTGAAAGATGTTCCCAAGTAAGGTATTCTTAAACCCAAGAAGGGTCGACATAACAACAACCCTATGTCCCACCTACCAAAGCATGCACGCGGGGTGCCGGACTCGCACTGGTAGACCGGCAATAAGAAAAAACCTTTGCAACAACTTCTCTGGGGCAGCTTGGGTTCAGATGCGAAGACTTGCCTGTCCCTGTACCTAGATAGGGAATACTTGGGCCTTCACGTGCCCTCCGAAAAGAGGCGGACCTGAATGAGAATAGGGTTTTGGGGGGTTCTTGTAGTATCTTTACAAAGGGACTATTGGTGATTATTCCGACTCCTTTATGATGTAGGGACTTTGGGGCCCCCAGTACATAAGAATAGGGTACATGGACCCTTCTCGGATACTTTGGGAGCTCAGTTTTCTAAATAGGAGGCACTTTAAGGCCCAAGTATTCCCGATTTTGGCACATGGACCCTTCGGGAATAAGGTACATGGACCCCTATAACCCTAAACCTTAACCCCTAACTAAACCCTAAACCCTAGCATACATTGTAAGCGCGAAGACTGGGCGTCCTGTTCCGCTCGGCTCGCCGGCCGCGGCATAGACCAGCAGCCAGGCAATGGCTCGCATCATCCAAAATCGTTGACACAGGCCCTTCGGCATCGAATGTCAGACACTAAAAGCTTACCCTAAGGATCCATGTACCTAAAATGGGGAATACTTAGGCCTCAAAGTACCTCCTATTGGATGGAGCCTCTGGGCCCAAGTATACTTTAAGGAGGTACATGGAGCCTTAGGGTGCCCGGCCATGTACCCCCTAAAACCGCCCTAAACCATAAACCCTAAACCCTAAACCCTAAACCCTGAACCCTAAACCCTAAACCCTGAACCCTGAACCCTGAACCCTGAACCCTGAACCCTGAACCCTGAACCCTGAACCCTGAACCCTGAACCCTGAACCCTGAACCCTAACCCATCGAGCAGTTCGACTCAGGCCACGACGTGCATGGGACGGAAGCAGCTACATGGGGCATGAAGGTTGCCTTGTACACCTGCACCTGCTTAAGACCTGAGTACGAATATCTCTGCAACCACAATTGCAAACAAAAACCGCTGGCAGTGACATTAGGTTTTGCGACATCACGCTCGTAGTGGCAGCATGCTGAGCCGCTTGGCTTGGAGCACAGGGGGCTTAATCGCTCACAGCCGGACAATGCAGGTGAGGCAACGCCCTCCAAAGTCTCACTCTGAACACCCCTAAACCCTAAACCCTATACACTAAACCCTAAACCCTCCACTCGCTTTCTTTTTGGAGTCTTTTCCCACCATCTGCCGACTAGATCACGACTCTGCGCTTCGGTGCTGCCTCATGCAGCTCAAGCGCCGGGCTAGGGTTTAGGGTTTAGGGTTTAGGGTTTAGGGTTTAGGGTTTAGGGTTTAGGGTTTAGGGTTTAGGGTTTAGGGTTTAGGGCGTTGAAGCGTCTTTGACCCAGAGATTCCACTCGCTGCTCTCCTCCACGCCGGCAGAGGCCGCGGCATCGATCTGGCCATTGCAGAACCTTAGGTGGCTGAATACCCTACCCTGAATAAACAACCCTAAACCCTAAACCCTAAACCCTAAACCCTAAACCCTAAACCCTAAACCCTAAACCCTCAGGAACTGAGGTCTGCCACACCAAGAGTTGCAGTTCATCGTGTTGGAGCCAACATAGAGCCTCGGATGGCCCCTCGAACCCTCTCAAGAAGGTTTAGGGTTTAGGGTTTAGGGTTTAGGGTTTAGGGTTTAGGGTTTAGGGTTTAGGGCTTAGGGTTTAGGGTTTAGGGTTTAGGGTTTAGGGTTTAGGGTTTAGGGTTTAGGGCTTAGGGTTTAGGGTTTGGGGTTTGGGGTTTGGGGTTTCGACTCTCGCGCTGGCGAAATGCGGGCGAGGATTCTGGTTTGAGCGCCGGGAAGTGAAACGGTTTAGGGTTCAGGAATATTCTAAACAGCATCCTCTTATAACCCAATACGCAAAAATATGAAAAACATCCCAAGGGCCTACTAGCAGCATGATGCCTGTACATTCCGCGTTCTCTAGGCACCATTGCTGAGCAGACTCCCAGAGCGCGCCGGACCAGCGCACGCCGACTCCACCAACGGGGTGGACACCAACCACTTCCTTAGTTGCTGAAGTCATCTAGGCCACCCCAAAAAGTGCACAAAATTCATTTCTCTAGGGGATATAGAGTATCCCAAAAAGGTGTACACTATTCAGTTCTCTAGGGGATCATGGTATCCAAAAAGGTGTAAAAGTGTATTCAGTCAGCTTCCAAGCTTCGGAAACACACCTCATGCCCCTGTGTTGATGGAAGCCCAGTTGCGACACCTCCTATACTGAACTTGGAACCCTTGCAAAACTCATAATTCTAGCTGTTTCTTAGGAATTATAGTAACCAAAACTCATAATTTTGGCTGTTTCTTAGGAATTATGGTAACCAAAACTCATGATTGCAGCTGTTTCTTAGGAATTAGAGTACTCAAAAATTAAAAACTATTTCCAAGTACCCCTAAGCCTCCTCCTCGATGTCAGCTGCTGTCCCTTCCGGTGTCCACAGCTCACGGGCCACCTCCTTCAAAGTCCTTGGGGACCAAATGAACCAAAAAATTGTGGTCAGGGTTTAGGGTTTAGGGCTTAGGGTTTGGCTCTATTTTTAGTAAGGCATGTGAACCAGAAACCCTTTTAGGGTTCATTTGGTCTCCAAGGGTCTTCATATCGGAGATGCCGAAAGGGAAGCGCAGCAGGGTCCCATAGCCCTCCGGCCAATCCGGAGCTTCCTTGGAGACCAAATGGGTTTAGGGTTTAGGGTTTAGGGTTTAGGGTTTAGGGCTTAGGGTCATAAACCTATACTACTAGCAACCTTATTAGGGCACATGAACCCTAAACCCTTCTTAGGGTTCCCTTGTGTCCACAAGGTTCAGGTGACCCGGGATAGAGCTTCGAGGACCTGATGGGCTGCGAGGGCGATCTGCGGGCATCCTCAGCTTTTTAGGGTTTAGGGTTTAGGGTTTAGGGTTTAGGGTTTAGGGGAAATATACCACCCCAAAAAGGTTAAAAGGTTACCTACTCTACGACTAAGCATCCCCCTCATCCCCGCGAGCGCCCTCGCACACTTGCAGCGACTTGCCTGTGCTGAACTTGGAACCCTAGCAACAATTAACCATTTGGTAGTTTCCTAGGCATTGCAGTACCCAAAAAAATGCAATTTTCGCTGTTTCTTCGGAATTTCAGTGCCCAAAATAAACTCAAAACAAATGTTTCCAGGAATCCCTAAGTTGCGACACTCCACCAGATCACCCTGCGCCCTCTCGAGGGCGGCCATGGCACGCAGAACGTCCGCCGCGGCGCCACGCGGAAGTCTCTGCGGCTCTTCCTAGGCCGGCTCTCTTTAGTCTCTTTAGGCGAAAATGTTCTCTCTCAGATCCTCTTCAACCCCCTCCCCCCCCAAACCCTAAACCCTAAACCCTAAACACAAGAAGCGGACAACAATTTCGAGAGCCCAAAGAGGCCACATGTGGAGGGCCAAGCTTCTTGTGCCTCAGCGATGGCCATGAGAAAGGCCACACCTGCCAACCTCAACCTTGGTCGCTCAGAAACCACAGGATGGTAAGGGTTTAGGGGTTACAAGGTTTAGGGTTTAGGGTTTAGGGTTTAGGGTTTAGGGTTTGGGGTTTAGGGTTTAGGGTTTTTTTTGCCACCCGTCTAGCCATGCCTCACGGGGCAAGCGCAGAGAGAATGCTTTGCACAAATCACTTCAGAGCCCAACTTTGCGGTTTAGGGCTTAAGGTCTACATACCCTTTTGGGGGGTTGGCTACTTTACAAAGGGGAACCTACAGACTTCTTAGAAACAACAAAAAGGCAGAAAAGGGTACCACTGGGCTACCAAGTAGCAGCATGGCCGGCCGTCGGACGTGGCCAGGGACCATGGCATGAAAGGATGCAGGTTTAGGGTTTCGGGTTTAGGGTTTCGGGTTTAGGGTTTAGGGTTTAGGGTTCAGGGTTTAGGGTTTGGGGTTAAGAGGCATTAGCAGCCCTAAGCCCTAAGCCCGAAGCCCGAAGCCCTGAGCCTTAATTAGGCCGTAAACCCTATACTTGGGCACGGAGGTTGTAGGGCCGATAGGGTTTGCAGAGTCCATAATACAGAGGCTATCTGCCACCAGCTCCAGCCCCCCAACATGTCACCGCGAACGCACTTCTGACCTCCAAGCAGGAAATGTTTGCTCAGTTGTCCTCAACGCAAGGCTCCAACCCCGTAAACGCGGCCGGCAAGTGCAAAAAAAAAAGCAAAAAACATGCAGGTGCTGTCTTCGGCAAGCTGGCAAGCTCACTTTTTACCGTTCTACAGGCTCTCTCGCCCCAGGGGCGGGAGACCTGTGAATGCGAGATCACCAGGGGCCAAACCTTAGCTGTCCAGCATCTAAGTAAAGTTTAACCTTTGGGGTTCTACAGGGCTGATATTGCCCCAAAAAGGTCAAAGGTGTCCTACTCTACTAACTCTAAACCCTTTTGTACGGCTAGGACTGCTGAACTGCCTGCCTGGGACACCAACCCTACACCCTACACCCTAAACCCCAAACCCTACACCCTAAACCCCAAACCCTAAACCCTACACCCTAAACCCTAAACCCGAAACCCTGAACCCCAAACCCGAAACCCCCAACCCCAAACCCCAAACCCCAAACCCTAAACCCCAAACCCCAAACCCCAAACCCCAAACCCCAAACCCCAAACCCCAAACCCCAAACCCCAAACCCCAAACCCTAAACCCTAAACCCTAAACCCAAACAAAGGCCAAGCCGTCGAGATCTAAGAGCCACACGAGGTCCAGGCCGCCGGAGTGCTGCAGTAGGCTCGTGGATTCGGCCAAACTGGGTTTAGGGTTTAGGGTTTAGGGTTTAGGGTTTAGGGTTTAGGGTTTAGGGTTTAGGGTTTAGGGTTTAGGGCTCAGGGTTCAGGATTTCGGGGTTTCAGGTTTAGGGTGTCGGGTTTAGGGTTAGCAGAGTAGGAAACTACATTTCGCTAAGAAACAAAAACAGAACAAATAATCATCCCTATGTTGCCCTTATAAGGAAGAATGTTTTTGTTTTCGGAGGGTTCTTAAGCAAATAAGAGTACCGTGTTTGGGGCTTGGAACATATCCTTTTAAGGTTCATTTGGCCCCACAAGGACGGACAAAGTAATTGGTGAGTCCAACTTGGCGTCCTGTTCGGCCAGCAAACGTGTGGGAGTTGCTCGCAGCATCATCTTGGCCACCTCAAAAAGAGTTCTGAGGCCATTACACCACCACTGCGGGCTTTCAAGCGCACCGGGAATCTTCCACAAACCAGGACAACATCCGTTCAGCTTTCCCGACTTTCCATGAAAATTACAAACCAATATCGACGCGCCAGATGGTGGCGTAACTGCACCATCCCATGAGCCCTACGAACCCTCAGCCTCGTGAGGCCGTGGCACGAAGATGTGGCGCAACTTGCCATGGGGCATTCATGCTCTGGCGAGTTTGACGCACTAGCCCTCAATGCAAATCTGTCTTCGGCCATAAGTAAACATGAGGGTCTCAGGAAGTAGCCCTCCGACGGGAAGGTTGTCGCGTGTCACGTGAGGTGCTGCGATCTGGTCGCTGTGGAGAATGGAGCATCGTGGCGAACTGGATGTCACTGCAACCAAGGCCACAATACAAAACACTGCAGGCGCAGGGGTCCTTGATGGTTGGTTGGGCATGGTTGGGCCAAGCTCACCTTTTTATCTGTATCTGCAAATCACCGCGCGCGCCACCTTGTGCTTTCAGAGTCTGCTGTGTTCTCCTCTGGCCCCTGAAGCCTAAACCTCCACCCAAAGAACCCAATTTCTCATAATTAGGAAATATTGCTTAATTTATATCGGGATCCAGGTACATTCCTTAAGTAAGGGATATTGGGCTCTTTGGGTACCTAGAGCCACAACCTGCACATACATTGAACTCTATACGGGCCAAGCGAAGAGGAGCCCACATGCAAGCTAAGAAAGCGAGCGAAGCTGCTTGCTGCAGCCTTCGCTGGCCCAGGTAGGAATCATACAAATCTACGCTTTCGGGTTTAGGGTTTATTAAGGGTTTATGCTGGACAACCACACTGGTACTCAGCAAGAGAAGCAATATCCTCCAACCAGCTTTCCTGCCAAGGCCGCGCGTTGCTACTGCCCGGGTTTACTTCCGCCCAGTGGGCGACCGCGCAGTAGGATTCCGCTTCGTCCACCGGCCCTGAAAGCCTCTGATTTTGATGCTTTGGCTTAGGGACGTTCAGGGGGCGTCCACAGCCCATGTGTGATGTAAACCCTAAACCCTAAGCCCCAAGCCCTAAGCCCCAAGCCCCAAACCCTAAACCCTAAACCCTAAACCCTAAACCCTAAACCCTAAACCCTAAACCCTAAGATGGCGACTTCGGGACAACTTGGGCTGAGCAGCCAGGGCTATGGCTTCCAAGGGCTGCAAGTCGACCCTAAACCCTAAACCCTAAACCCTAAACCCTAAACCCTAAACCCTAAACCCTAAACCCTAAACCCCCAAAGGGTCCTAAGTACCTATATGGGGGACACTTGCCCAAACCGCAGTCGTAATTCCTATTATAGAAGCCCTACTCTCTACTAGGTAGGTACTTAGGATCCTTTGACCTCCTAGGCCCCGGTACCATTCCACGGTTGTACCCGCCTTTACGTGGCCCGCGCGCTGCCCAGTACGAGCCCTTGCGCCCCTAAACCCGACACCCTGAACCCTGAATCCTAAACCCTAAACCCTAAACCCTAAACCCTGAACCCTGAACCCTGAACCCTGAACCCTGAACCCTACGCCCGAAGTCCTCCTAAACCTCACACCCCCACAGGCCCACAAAGCATAAGGTGCATCTTGAGGGGGTTTAGGGTTTAGCACCCGGAGCCCTACACAGTAGGTTTAGGGTTTAGGGTTTAGGGTTTAGGGTTTAGGGTTTAGGGTTTAGGGTTTAGGGTTTTGGGCTTCCCTTGCTGCTCTTCGAGGCGAGGCGAGGTGGACTGCTGCTCAATTGATCAGGCCCGGATGTCTTTTTCTTGGGAAGCGCGGAGCGGCGAGGCGGCTTAGGGCTTTTTTTCTGTTTAGGGTTTAGGGTTTAGGGTTTAGGGTGTAGGGTTGAGGGTTGAGGGTTTAGGGTTTAGGGTCTCGGGTTTCAGCTCCTTCTTGCTGTGGTTCGCTGCTTGCTTCCATCCAGATAGTAGCCCCCCCGATTATACGCCCTATGAAGGACTGTTAGTATAAGGGGGAACATCCCAAAAGAAGACCCTCTTGAGCCCAAGAAGGAACGAGAACCTATCCCAAGGGCCTACCTGGATATGTCTGTTTGGTAGTGGACCTTTTGAGTAAGACTCGGTAGACCAGGCAGGCAGCCCGAAACTCTAAACCTCTTTGGGGGGCTGAATACCTCAGCCCCAATCAAAGGCTAAGTAACTTTTTTCATATAGGGTTTAGGGTAATTAGGGTTTAGGGGTAGGATTCGATATAGTACCAAAAAGTGTGAAGTAAAGTTACTTGTACCCAGTCCCTACCCTAGGGCCTTCAAGTATAGAAAGAATACCTACATTGGGGTCTAAAGTCTGTAGATACTACCTACTTTGGGCTATTTGGAGCCTTAGGGTTTAGGTTTAGGGTTTAGGGGCCCTTAAACTACCGTACGGTTACCGGGCGACCAGGCTCTTCCCCTTTTCGTTGGAACCCTAAACCCTAAACCCTAAACCCTAAACCCTAAACCCTAAACCCTAAACCCTATATAAACCCTAAACCCTTTTGAATATTCCAGGAAGCCCCCTTCAGAACATCTGCCACCGCTCCGCTCACGGGTCAGCCGTGAGCTGCTACTCGGCTCGACGCTTCTTCCTCAGCGTGGGGGAAAAGGAACAGAAGACATTCATGGGAACCCTAAACCCTAAACCCGAAACCTTAAACCCTAAACCCTAAACCCTAAATATTGGGCAAGGAATTCTAAACCCCAAACCCTAAACCCTAAACCCTAAACCCTCATTTGAATAGTTGGGCAACGAGGGATGCAGGCCGTCATCCAGCCCTAGAGGCTTGTGCTTCCCTCGACACCCAGGCGACAGACACGACCACGCTGCGGTTTAGGGTTTAGGGTTTGGGGTTTGGGGTTTAGGGTTTAGGGTCTAGGGTCTAGGGTCTAGGGCTTCAAGCATCTTCCAGCGCACTGCCATACTCGAAGCTACACTTGCTGAGGTATCTCGACTGCAGCACACCGCATCCTTGTCGAACGCCAAGATGCTTATTGGTGCTGCCGCTTGTGCCACCACTTGCGCTGCCTCTGGCTGAGGTACAATGAAGGATTCGGGGAAGGAGATCAACATGAAGAGATGGTACAACAAGAGAGGGTAACTGAGGTAACCGGGCATCATACCATACCCTGCACATCTCGGACCTCCATTCCCCTCCATGAAACGAACAGCAAATTGGACCGCCTCCTGCGGCGAAAATATTCTCACCGGTGCTTCCGCCTCAGCCGGTGAAAGGGTGTAGGGTCTAGGGTTTAGGGTTTAGGGTTCTCAGTTGCTGAGTTCATAAGCGCAAAAAGTGTACGCTTTCAGTTCTATTGGGGATTCTAGTATCCCAATAAGTGTAAAGTGTACTCATTCAGCTAATTACTGAGAGGGCTCTACTTCTACAGAAAACATGTCTTCCGAAAAGGTTAGCAGAGCTTCAGGGATTGCGGCTCAGTCTTCATACGAGCACAGGGCAAAACCACTTTGGGATAAATCCACAAAAATTTTTGTCACATTCATTAGGGTAGGTTACATGCGCATGAAGAAGCGGCCAATGGGTGAAAGCCTCTTTATTGCCCTCCCCCACCCTTGTTGTAGCCAAACACGTGGCCTTGTTTCTGTGTCACCCACATATATATATATATATGTACAC